TTTATTTTGGCCCCAGAATGGAAATACAAAATGTGTACTATGAGAAAAATATAGTGGTTATATTGTAAAATGTGTGCACATTTTGTGTTTTATTTTCCAAATTAAATAAAAAAAATTAAACAAATATATTTGCTCTTTTTTGATAGAAATTATGCATTTACGAGGGGTGATCAAAAAGTTCGCGAACTAATTGAATTACTTCCTTAAATGAAATAAAATGAGGTTTCAGTGTTCATTATTTTTTAAATTACCGGTAGTCCTCTCCGATTTTAATAGACATCTGCCATTGTTCTGCCCATGCGCGAATCACGTGATCCAGGCGGTCACGTGACATGCTTCGAAGCGGTTTGTTCACAGAAGCTAAGAGATTATTTCTTAGCATGCAAGTAATTTTTCATAACAAGAACAGACCATCTGTCAGAAATGGGCAAATCTCGGCAATAGGATGGGTGGATAAGGATATCGCTTCCCAGAATTAGCATGGTGACCATCACAACCCGAGTCCACTGTCTCGGGAGCGTCGTTTATCCAATGTGGAACAAGTATAGGCGCCTTCTTTTTCTTCATATCTCATACGTTTAAAGTCTAAAGTAAACGATATTTTAGGGGTTTAATAATTATATTATTGCTCAGATATTGAACTATTTTTCTTACTGTAACTTGGCGATCTTTCAAAACAAATTGCTCAACTAAGGATACATCTTTTTACCGGCTTGCTTTCGCTGGGCAACAGAACAAACATCATTTTAAACGATCTCCCTGCCTTCATTAAAACATTCAATCCAATTAATGATTGAACTTCTGGTAAGTCTTTTGTCTTTACAAACCTTGTACAAATTATCATATTCCACTGCAAAGGAATTTCCGAGATATACGTTAAACTTTACAGCCGTTTGTTGCTCGAATACGACTGAGTCAACCATTTTTTGTCACAAGTGACCTACATACTGACGTCATTTTCACATTGTGACGTCACAAACACGGAGCAAAACATTATTTAATATCTGCTATTTATAGAACATGTGTATGACTATATGTGTGCCAAATTTCATTCTGATCTGAATTGAGGTTTTCTAAATATAGAGATAGTTCGCGAACTTTTTGATCACCCCTCGTATTCAAACATTAATAAATCTTAAATTATATAACAAAGGTATATCTGCACACATTTATTCATAATTTCCACAATTTTTATCCTTTTTCTTTTCTGTAAAAAATAAACTTAACCAGAATGATTTCTCTACAATAAAGTACATTTATTTTGGAATGTTTCATTCAAAATATTTTTAAATAACCATTATTTAAAATGTGAAAAATCAAGTGCAACAGCATACCGCTTCAAAAATTATGAATCTTTGACTTTATTCTGTTGTTTTTTTCAAAAATACAGATACTATATATATGATATTATATACCAATGGAAAGCTCTCATTCTGATCTTTGCAATGCAACAAAAGACATTTAGATTAGATGTAACTATAAAGAGTTACATCTATATAACATCATTTAGTTGGAAATGGGCACCTGATCTTGGCCAAGCCGAATATGAATGTTATATAGACCGTTTTAACGGGGAAAACGCCAGTGTACAATGAAGATTTTAAGATTTAAAAAAAAAATGCCGTGGATTGTTCACGCATACAATTCATGGAATTAACGAAATTTAAGGGACAATATTTCGTTTTTTACTTTTTATCGAAAAGTAGGGGCAGATGTAAATACGCAAATCATCAAGGATAGGATTTCATAAACATAGAAAAACAATAATAAAAGCCCCTTCTTTTTCAATTTTGCGTTCTATTATGTTGCATCCCCGGATTAAGGACATACGCAACGTACCTTACCTACTGATATTTTTTCAAGATATTCTTAATTTAAAATTATAATGCCATCAGATGTTCGTAGACAAAGAATCAGCATGCATTACCAGGGGTTTTGAAAACATATCAATTGAGCAAAAAATACTAAACATATATTCTAAATGTTTTGTTTATCAAAACTTGTTTTAGAATAAGTGTACAGCAGCATATATAGACATTATAATATAGCACACAGTCCTTTAAGTATTGGGACTCTTCAACTCCCGCGGAAAAGACAATAAAGTTCAAACTACGTTGCGCATGTCCTTAAGAGCGTCCGGATACCTGGTGTTCATGCCACTACGTATGGAATGACGATATCAATGTATGATGAATTTATTGGTTGTGAAACATTGGATTTTTTTTTCCTTTTCTATATTTTTTGACTAATATTATTTATGCTATAGTATTGTTACAAATACACATTTTACATTCCATGTACATGTATTTTATTTATAAAATGTGTGAAAAGCTACGGCATTCAAAATCACCATATAACGTACGCTCACGGGCGTTACTCAATTTGTTTTCACACGCCGTTGCAGTTATGAGACTAAGCATTAAATTATTATTTTTTGAAAGATGTACAAACATAATTTGTCCTCATTGACAAATCTGTTGGTGGAGGGTACTTAGACACTACACACTTTGTATTTATGTTGAAAATATCGTAGGTCGGATATATTTCTTTAATTCTATATACACATGCAGTTCTCTTCACCACCATATTTCTATTTTTAAAGTATGTTTTAGTTCTCTTAATTTGTACGTACACGGTGAAAGGACTATTTTACTTAAGTTAATACACTTAGCTCTGTGATCTAAATTTAATTTGCGGGGGAGTAGATGCCATGTAAGACAGGAGCGGAACATGAAGGAGATTCCACTTTTAAAATTGTACTAGTGGTGTCCCTTTTTACACCCTCTCTTTTACCGGCTGAATTTTAACATACGATATTTTGATTCGTTTAAAGTGTCACAGTGTTTCCTGATATATTTACTACTTCTTTACTACAAAACATTCCCGACAACCATTGTTAGTAGCTCTTCTGGACTTTAAGGTGGAACGACCCTCTAATAAGAGAGATAACTTGCTAAGAAAATACTTCCGAGCTGACCAATACTTTGTTTTACCGGCGTTTAGTAATGAAGACCAATATATAGTCAATTCACTCAAGTCTGGATTATTCAACCATTGACTTATCTTTTCAATTACCATTATTTTTTTTACACTTTCTAATAATACCTTTGCAACCAGTTCTTTAAAAGTGTTAGATTTGTGATATTCATGAATTATCTCTTAATAAACAAAAAAATATTTTAAAGGATAACTCTTGTACAGTGTAGATGGATACACTTTTTCTTTACAAACAAAGATAACAATGTGATATTCTGACTAAAAAGCGACGCTTCATTGTGTTTTCTAATGTGAATTTAATATGTTGACACTAAATATTGTTTTCTTATATATCTCATATTTTTAAATAAATATTGTACTGCGTCACATTTTCTTCATGATTAGACATTATAAGTGAGCAACGCTTCGAAATTTACACGATTTTCCATTCGAATCTAATGCTATTGCTGTTGATAAAAACTAATGTTGGAAATAAAAAAAAAATAGTGAAACTAGAGCAGAGGGTTATAACACCTTAAATTTATACTATCTAAATCTTCGCCTGTTTATACTTTATATGACAGAGATCTTTTGAATATTGCTATAAATTTCTTTAATATATTAAATATGAATTGAGGTTACCTATAATTATTTTCGGTAGAAATCTAAACAATTCTATGGTTGTCATGCTTTCCTAGGAGAACGGGGCACTTGCATGGCATGATAAGCATATCAAGCGATATTTAATCAGGACAATGGTGGTATACGCCTAAGTTCTGCTTTTTCTAGCTGATAGAATTTATCGATCCCCAGAACTTGGTAATCGGTACAAGATGAAGACACCCTTCTTTAGAGGTAACGTTGTGAAAGTACGTGATGCACGGCTTAAATTCCTACTACCTGTAGCCTAGGCTTATAGGTGATCGCAGAGCACTATTTTGTCCTGTCAGATGTCCAGGGTTCAATTTCTTTCATTCACAAAAGATTACTTATTTCCATTAATTATATTTTCCCGCGGTTCGCCAGTAATAGCGGGAAAATATTGTATTGACGGCACAGTGCATTATAATGGAAGGTTCCATTATTAGCCAATAGTTATTGAGTGTAAAGAACAGGTTTTCGAAAGGTAATTCAGGTATTCACCTCTAGCCGCCGTGCGGCACGAGTTAGATAAAAATGGACGCCCAAGCAATTCAAAGACAAATCAACGATACTGTATGCGCTTCGAATAATGAAATGCTGAGCAGTTTCTCGGAGCTTCTGGACAATAGGCTTACAGAGATGTAGAAAACAATAAATGAGAACCAAAAAGCTATTGCCGATAGACAGGAGGCTAGAATTGAACAAGTCGTGGCCGACGGCTATAAATTCAAAAAACGTGGCAACGAAGAGCAGCACAAACACAACGTAAAAGTCCTATCTAAAATGCAGGAGGCCAGTGAACATTTGGAAGAACGAAAAATTGAAGACGCAAAACGTAAAATAGCAGAAGGTGTGGATATTATAAAACACAGACAAAAATTAATTAAACTTGCAGATTCTTCAGAGGCGGGATGGAGAGCGGTTGACGAGTACGTTAAAAGCCCTATCGCATCAGATTCCGATGACGAGAAGAGAATTACCAAAGCACAGACTCGGGCTGAGAGGAAAGTAAAAGAAGAAAAGGCAAAGAGACGAAAAGATCTGAGGGATTTTACCAGGCCCTACCCAAAGCCAGTGTCGACAAAGACAACACTTAATGAATCTACATGGAAGCCTGGGCATTGCTATCGCTGTAACAAGAGAGGTCATTGGAGAAAGGACTGTAAGGAAAACTAGATGATAATAAGATAAGTACATTTGTTTATCAAGATAATCATTTGATTAAGCAGAAAAATGACGGTGAGTAGTATGACAATACAATACAAAAGCAATCACGCGGTGTAAATATTTCACCTGTAGGTCATTTACGGGAGAATATAGGTCAGTGGCGTTTGATTGGTGCAAACAGGTATATTTTGGACATTCTTGAGAAGGGTTATAAAATGCCATTGTTTACCACACCAGAACCCATAGAACTTAAGAACAATCGATCTGCGTTAGAAAACGGTGAGTTTGTAGATAAAGAAATTGAAAAGTTACTCAATAAAGGTTGTATAGTGGAGTATATCAATAAACCAAGGGTTATAAATTCATTGACGGTAGCGGGTAACAAAACAAAACAAAGGTTGGTATTAGATGCACGACATATCAATCCTCATTTATTCAAATATAAGCACAAATACGAAAATGCATCTGTTTCAAAAAGCTTATTTGAATCAGGTGATTTCATTTTTTCATTTGATTTAAAAAGTGCATATCATCACATTAGGATGCATGAACTAGATGAAGAATACTTAGGTTTTAAATGGAAAAGTAAGTATTATGTTTTTAAAGTTCTGCCATTTGGCCTTAGTACAGCAGGATACATATTTTCGAAAGTCATGAGGGAAGTGGTGAAGCTTTGGAGGTCAAAAGGTTACAAGATTGTCATGTATTTAGATGATGGGATGGGCGGTGCCTCAACATTACACGAAGCAGAATTAGTGAGTTTAGAAATTCGGAAAGATTTAGACAGATTAGGGTTTCTTGTTGCAGCAGACAAGAGTCACTGGGAGCCAGTACAAGAATTAGTATGGTTAGGGTTTGTATGGAATACAATAAACAACAAAATAATGGTGACGTCACCTAGGGTCAACAAACTCAAGGTTTGTATTGCAAATATTTTGAAAGGTTATGATTCTGATTTTATTTGGTTCGATGTTAAAAATATCGCATCTGTGGTTGGACAAATAATTTCAATGCAAACAGTATTGGGTTATGATGTTAGACTACAAACAAGGTATTTATACTTTTGCATTCTGACGCGTTCCAGTTGGAATTCGAGAGTAAGGCTGTCTGCAGAAGCGGTAGGGGAACTAAAAGTGGTTGACATCTGTTGAAAAAATGAATAAAAGTGGTACGTTGTTAACTCAGTTGACAGAGTCTGATGTAAATAAAGTAACAATTTATTGTGATGAATCTGACACGGGTTTTGGAGGTCATTTGACTATATGTTCAGAGGGTGAACAAACTGAATTTGAGTGGTATGGAGTTTGGAACGAATGGGAAAGTAAGCAAAGTTCTACTTGGAGAGAACTTGAGACAGTAAATAGAATCTTGTCAAAATCTGTTGATAAAGTTGAAGGCAAATCTGTTGAGATCAATTCTGATAATCAAAATGTGCAACATATATTGAAAGTAGGGAGCAAGAAGAAAAAGTTACAAGACATTGCAATGTCAGTGCATAGTTTATGCAATAATAAGGATATTCAAATAACAGGTAAATGGATACCTAGGTCAGAAAACGTAAAAGCAGACTCTTTGAGTAGAATGACAGACTGTGATGACTGGTCTGTTAAGCAATGTGTATTTGATTATTTTGACAATATCTGGGGACCACATACATGCGATAGATTCGCAGATCTCCATAACAGTAAGTGTGAGAATTTTAATTCTAAGTACTGGTGAGCAGGATCAAGCGCTGTTGATGCGTTCTCTCAGATGTGGACTGATCATTTGAACTGGGTTGTACCGCCGCCAAAATTAATTCCTTTAGTGGTAAGGAAACTTGAGAGTGACAAATGCAATTGTACTTTGGTAATTCCGGAGTGGAAATCCGCTCCGTTTTGGCCAATGTTGATTGATAAGGAGGGAAATTTCAAACATTATGTTAAAAATTTTTCGAAAATACAAACTGTTCATGCAGTTTGCAGGGGAAGAGGAAATAATGGAATATTTGGGGAAAAGGGTCTTTTATTTAGTATGTTTTTTCTGAAAATAAAATTTTGATATAGATGACATATTTTTACAGGAATAGGACTCCATGACAGCATTAAAAGAAATGCAGAAAAACATGGCGTCGAACCTGGAAGTTATTTGGCTGATCTGTGTCCATATTTAAGCAGCTGGATTTTGTCAAGTAAAAGCGATAACACTAATAAATCCTATTTTAACTCTTTTAAGAGATGGGAAAATTTCATTAAAGTTCAAGGACATATAGTGCGTTACCGGCAAGTCCCATGCATGTGGCATTATACCTGACGCATTTGTTACAGAACGGATCATCTCAACACCCTGTGAACGTTGCCGTGTATGCGATTAGGTGGGCTCACGAATGTGCAGGTTTACCAGATCCAACGAAGAATGCCTACGTTACATCTCTACAAGAAGCCGCAAGACGGAAAGCTAGTCGTGTTGTCCAGAAAAAAGAACCTATTACCAAGGATGTGTTAATTGAACTTTGTGATAAATTCGTTGATGAAAATGATTTGCTAATTGTCAGAAATCTTACTACGATTTTATTTTGTTTCGCTGGTTTTCTTAGGTTTGACGAAGTTATTTCTTTAACATTTAATGATGTGCTTGTACATGATGAATATCTTGTGCTTTCTATTAAAAAATCAAAAACAGATCAGTACAGACAAGGAAGCGAAGTCCTTGTTGCTAAAGGTTCAACGTCTGCATGTCCTGTCAATATGTATAAGAGATATTTAGAACTTTTGGGTCCAATTAGTGAAAAACAATTTTTCTTATTTAGACCAATTTTTAGGTCAAAAGGTGTTTTTAAATTAATATATAAAAACAAAAAACTTAGTTATACATCAACTAGAAGCAATCTTGTATCATTGTTGAAAACAATTATGGGTGAACATGTTAACATAGGAATTCATTCTTTAAGGGCAGGTGGGGCGACTGTGGCAGCAAATTCAAATGTGGATGAGAGATGTTTGAAAAAGCACGGTAGATGGAGAAGTGACAGTGCCAAAGATGGTTACATTGTAGATTCTTTGGATAAACGACTTATGGTTTCAAGGTCATTGGAATTATAATTGTATTAAAACAGTATTCACAGTTGTTTACACCCCTTTTTTTGTGTTTTTCTAGAGCAATCACGGCTGGCTGTCGGGCATTGTATGTTTGGGTTGTGTTGTATTTTAATGGTAGTAGAGTTAATACTTATATTTTCCCGCGGTTCGCCAGTAATAGCGGGAAAATATTGTATTGACGGCACAGTGCATTATAATGGAAGGTTCCATTATTAGCCAATAGTTATTGAGTGTAAAGAACAGGTTTTCGTCAGGTATTCACTTCTAGCCGCCGTGCGGCACGAGTTAGACAAAAATTTTATATAAGAAATTTTTTTTTCATGTCTATATTATTATTATTATTATTATATTTTGTAATATACTTATATATGGTCAGAAAGTTGTGAGGTCCGTTCACAACTCCCCCTGCATCCAGCGGCACCTGGCAACGGACACAGGTTTTCTAGAGTTTTTGCATCGATTTTCATCGTTTTTATCTCTAGTTTTTGCCTGGCCGGCCCTGATGCTATGTAAAGGGGGGTACTGCAGTTTTTTTTTTTTTTTGCATTTTTTAAACATTTTGTAGTCTTGTAAAGAAAAGAAAGTCAGCGTTATGTTTTTCTGCATTTTAGTATATAGTAATGATTATGTTTAATATGTAAAACAGAAATAAATTACGGGCGTCCAGCAATCACGGCTGGCTGTCAGGCATTGTATGTTTGGGTTGTGTTGTATTTTAATGGTAGTAGAGTTAATACCCCATAATGTTTAGGGCTTAACGTCTTTCTTTCAGCATAATAACATTTATTACATTTTCAACAGTGAAATACTGTGATTTATTTATTGAATAAAAGTGATATTCTCTCACAGTGTGAAAGGATACCAAAGTGATATTTTCTCACAGTGTGAAAGGATATCAAAGTAGGTTTAAAAAAAAATCTGGCCTGTCATAAGATAGAGATATTAACTAAACCGTCTTCATAGAGACTAAAACTGCCAAAGTTTCTCCAAATATGTTGTTAAAAATTTGTTTTTCAATCTCGCAATCGCTTATAGCTATCTTAGACGTCTCAACCGCTCAACTATGACGTCACAGCCTATGAAACCCTGTTACGAAAAGACAGAGTCAAAGGGAAAATCAAAGAAAATGTAATAAACAGAAAATTCAATGTTTTGTAGATGAATATGGAATTTATTTCACTCGTGAGACAGGATTTTTGGATATTTTCACTCCTGCTTCGCACTCGTGAAAATATAAAAAAAAATCCTGTCCCACTGGTGAAATAAATTTCATATTCATCTACAAAACATTGAATATCCCTTATATATCCAGAAATCCAAGATATCTTAAAGTAAGGAAATTACACTGAAAGTCTAGAGGGAACACGTTTGGCGTGGTTTCTGACCTCTCTAGACTTTCGGCAATCGGCAATCCTCGGCAGATTCCGCTACGCTACATAAACATTAGTGTGTGAGGCACGAGCTCCGGAGAGCTCCGAGTGGACTTTCCGTGTTATTCCGGGATGTCTCTACAATTTAAATAGTTAGAAATCGTCACTTCCGTTGCTTTCAGTTTCAATGTTAGGTATAGAGGACGTTTTGGTTTACTGCATATTTTATACGGCAAGTTCAAATCGGCAGACGATTCAAGGGCATTATTCAATCATTTTTGAAGATCTCATACGACACCGGCGGGAAAAGCGTAAAGATAGATTAAAATCAAGCGTGAACCGAGACATCACTTGAAATGCAAGATGGCAACTGTCAATACCTTCACTCTTTTTATATACAGTAATATGATATTTATAAAAAAGTTTTAATTTCAGTGATTTTTTTTTAATTTTAATGAGAGTATTCAGACACACCTAGAAAAACACATGATACACAAAATACACCATCCATAAACTAAGATCTATTCTTCAGCAAAATCAAGGTATTAAATGCTTAATATATTCATAATATAATATATTGTAGACATATTTTTAGAGAAATTGGCATAATTTAAAGATTTCGAATAATCAATTTCAGGACTCCTAATTCTGTTTTTTTTTTCTGATATGGGGTGTTAAAAAACCAAAGCACACGCGGACGCTAAACATAGAAAAAAAAATTAGAATGGCCTTAACCTTGTTGAAAAAGGCATGCATAAATGATAGAGTGCAAGGAACCTTATATAACTTACACAATTCTACATATTTTTCTTCTTACCTTGTTTTCTGTAAGCTTTGTCAATGATGTAAAAGTCATTGTGTGGATGGAGGCCTATACAGGATCTCACGACGTCATATCTCCAGTGTCTCCAGATCCACGTCACGTGATCTACACTGTCCTGTGATCTTCCTCTGTAATGTACAGCCTCCCCTCCTCTTCTTAGATCCATTAGAAATTCTCTTTTATCGTCACTCTCCTTTAGTATATTAACTGAAACATTTACTGTAGAAAAAAAAAGATGAATATTGTATAAAACTCAATACTAGTAATTTATCTTAAATAAAATTAAATAAATATAAATAACATATGTAAGTAAAACTAATCAGGAATGAGTTCGATTTAAATGAACATTACTTTATTAAATTAACAATACTTTTATATGCATCTACAGATTGTGGAATATGTATGCCTCGTGAAGTATAAATAAAATGATCAGCATTTAGAGATCATATCATGAAATATATGAATTTAAAAAAAAAAAACATCATTTTAAACACTTTGTAAATTCGGAAATAATTACATTCCTTTACACTGACTTACATATCTTGTATATCATATCATATATATCCGTGTCCTCCATGGTGACATGAGTCAGTATGTTCATCTGTAGACGGTCTATCAGTAAGTAATCACAGTAAGCACTACACACACACTTCTCTCAAGGTTTTCTGTTGTATCTGTCTGATCTCAGGTACACACTGGCTGTGTCATAACTACTGTAAAGGAATGGTATAACACGGTCTATTGATGCTATCTTATACATTGTCTCATCCTTTATGTCCTCCGTTATCTTTTCGTTATCTTTTCCTTTTTCTTTATCTTTACCTTTATCTTCCCAAAGGAAATCACGTGACTTCAGTCTGTCCAGAGTCTGCTGTGCTTCCTCGCTTGTTACACGATTCTCTTTATGGTACACTCTCCGTCGTATCTCTTTAAGCATGTCCAGCCACTCTGTGTTACTGAAGTCAGGAGGACCGGAGTCAGAACACAGAAAACAAAACAACACGGACACCTCCTCATCAGTCAGTGTGGAGAACTCATCTTAAAAAAATGTTAAAAATTATTATTAACAAGCATTCTGAGAGTACTGCAATAGCAATACTAGTCTCCTACCGGCAAGTGTAAATTGGTTCCTGTTAAAAATTGAAAATGTCATAATTCCGTCAAAAATCAATGAAATGGAACGAAATCAAGGTAAAATCACAGGCCAAAAATCAGCTCAATATCTGCAAGCGTTTAGAGAAAAAATTGCAAAAAAAAACCCCTAAAAAATTAAAATGGCCTATGTATAAAAAGGGCCTATGAATACATGTAAACATGATCTGAATATAACAGGTTTCACTTAAAGGTCATACGAAACGGTTCTTAACACTTGGATATTACTTTTTAAACATAAAGCACGCCCGTAGGAAGCGATTTCATTTGGGGGGCACATACCATAGATTTTCAGGCGGGGGGGGGGGGGGCACTATCAACTACCAAAAGTTTCTTGACAAGCAAAAAGAAAAAAGAACAAAGGGTCATCAGACGTTATTATTGAGGGGGCACAAGCACATGACATATGGTAGCTATGTTTTCTATAGCATTCTATATATCGGCAAAATTATTGCCCCCTTCCCCCCCACCAGTTTCTTAGCCATATAAAGACTGGTATGAAAGAGTGTCAACTTACTTTTAGAAAAAAAATTGCCTTTGCTTAATTGAAATTTGTTATCCGCTTATCGTTCTTGATGTTGAGGTTTTATGACGTCACAAAGACCATTTATGTAAATAACGCATTAGACCCAATTTAATTTTGCCGCTAAAAATGATGTTTAACTTGTGTTTAATTTTTAAACAGTCGTGTTTTACAATTAAACATGGTGGGTTTAAATACAAAACATTAGCGTCTAACATATAATCACGACTATTTAAATTGGTGTTCAATAAGTAGGGTATTTAATCATCCATCTTAAACACGCAATGTTCATATGCATCAAATCAAAAAATTAAATTAGGTGTTGCTTCTCAGTATTGCTGTGTGTATTTGCCATTTGTACAATTTCTTAATTTATAAAGTAATTCCGTACATACTAGTAGATATTTTTCGACACAGAAAAAATACGAATAGCCAGGCAATACGTTAACTTTAGATCATACCAAAAGCGATTACAATTAACATTAATTTATGGTAATTTTGTGCTAAAAATTCATAAATTTCATAAACTGTTAAAGGGGAAAGAGAAACATATATTATGATGACTTTTATAATTTTATCAATATTTTAATCACCGGTGTTTAACACGAGTGTTCATTTCTTAACCATCATATATTTATAAATTAAACACATGGTATATATATAGAAATTGCAAATTAAACACCTGTGTTTAATGCGTTATGATAGAAAATGACGCAATTGATTATGTCATAACATGCCATTTGAACGCAGAAGATGCAGAATCACGCATATACTGGCAAAACACCATATCTAACAAGGAAACAGGAGGTATTTATACATTTCTTTATATAAAATCTGGGAAAAAAAATGAATGCTTAATACATTAGAGATTTATACTGCTTTTATGAAATGCAGGATTGTTAGGCCTATCGTCTGAGTGTAAATGCGGCCATATGGAGCGGTCGGCATAAAATATTTGTAGTCTTTAAGTATATTGCGATATCTAATTAATTTGCAGGGAAGTTCATCTCTTATTGTGAATCCTGAGAAGAATACATTACTTGATAAAGGAAAGTGATTTTTAAACGAAGATCACACTTATCCTTGAGAGGTGAGTTTAAAGGGCATTTCAAAGAAAAGGGGTAAACCCCCCCCC